ATGTTAGAGAGCAAAACTCCTTCACCAAGTATCGTCATTCCGAACTAAGAGTTGCGTACTGAGTTTAGCAAATCGAGCACACTCGTGTTATGAACACAGTTTTTGTAAACAGGGCACGGGTTCTGTTATTGTTGATGTTTACAATTCACCGGGTGCGTTCAATCGTCACAGTCTGCTTACCACAACTGCATGGACTGAAAATTTATTGTGTGTTTGTTTTGCTTTCGAACATGTCTACTCTGAATTTTCTGGATTATTGTATTAATATTTTTCATTTATACACAACGAGATTGCCACTTTTCTTAAGGATTAAGAATAAAATTAATTTGTGAAAGTACAAGGATGTGTCAATCAAACCCGCCAAAAAATTTGAAATTTTAATATCTTTTATAAGAAATAAGATTTTTAATTAATTTTTGTATGAAATGCTATTAAAATATATGAGTCGTAATATTATAGAGAAAATAATAACTTCAAATCTGTGTCCAAGTACCTTTAAAACATCAGCAGTGGGATCAGGCGGCAATTGGAGGGATAAGCATCCCTTGTCGGCCGTTTGGTCCTTGTCATGATCTGGCAATGGGCAAAATCTGTAGACAATTGCATTCGAGATACTTAATGATATACTATATTTTCAAGGTCACTGTAACGACCATATATACAATTGGTGAAATTTTGACTTTAAACAAGACAGCTGAAATTCTTGATTTAGAGCTTCTCAAAAACAATTTACTGATGTCTCATATAGAAAATGTATATCAGATCAAGGACCAAAAGCCCATCTGAAGGTAAATCATTCCAGCAAGGTTTGTAGGCCTTATACTTACTTAGAAATAGATCAATGCACCTGCTTAGAAAAGGATATTTATTTCTGAAAGTTTTTTGCAGGTGTATCTTGGATTCATCATTCTCTTTGTTCTTTTGTCTTTGGCCTCGTTATCTTTAAGCACGTTACCGATCTTCCAGAGAAAACTGACGATTTGCGAAGCACGCGATTTATTACTTTACAACCATAAATATGAAGACGATATTGAGAATTTTTTCGCTAAAGTGAAGTGCGACAGCAGTGCAGAAGACGTTTTGAGATCTATTTATTTGAAGTACGGAAACTATACAGATGATGAAACGTTTCAAGAAGATATAAAAGAAAAAGAAGCCAGTGGAATGGGCAAGGAGTATATAAATGAAATGAAATTAAAATGGAAACTTAAGAAAATAAGCCTACCAAACAAAAGCGCTCGTCTGAAGGTGTTCGACTTGATAGACCTTATTGTCTTGGTTGTTTTCGCTGTTGATCTGATCCTAAGACTGGTAACTTGTCCAAGCATTGCTTCGTATTATAAGTCAGCGCTGAACGTTATTGATACTGTTGTCTTAATTTGTGGAATTCTGGGATATACTCTGGAAAAAGTTTTAATAAACTTTACCTATGACAGGGGAGATCTTGATATATTGGTTTATCTCCAGCAACTTCGCGTGTTCCGTTTGATTCGAGTTGTACAGAATGTTGCCGCCATCAAAGTACTCGCTTTCTGTTTCAAAACCAATATTAAGGAAATACTGATTCTCATGTTATTTTTGTTTGTCGGTGTAAACATTTTTGCCAATATGCTTTTCTTTGTCGAACCAAAAAACATATCCAGCATTCCACAGGCATGGTGGTGGGGAATAATCACCATGACAACTGTCGGTTATGGTGACTTGTATCCGGTCACATTTTCCGGGCGCATTATTGGGAGTTTGTGCGCAGTCAGTGGAGTTATTGTTCTTGCTTTAATTATTCCCATTTTCGTGAACAATTTTCTGGCTTTGTATGAACTTGCGTGCTTGTTGCAGAAAGAAAAGGACAGAAAACCAAAAACAAAAACTTTAAAAATTAAGGTGGAACCCTCGAAATTTTAGCAACGACCTTTTAGAAATGATTAAGTATCGCATAAAAATGCATATTGAAAAATTGTATTGCACATGCTATACATTGTACACTTTTGTAGATATTTGACCTTTCTTTATTAATTGTTATTATATTGATTGAATTCTTTTAATGAATTTTCCCCGAATTTTTCAGTACAAAAATATCCAGTACATTAAGCAGCGATATACATGTATATACCGGTATATAGTTCGCATCTTGGAAAATTTTATTGCAATTACCATGTAAACTTAGTATATTTTTTTCTGGAATGCTTTCTAGCTACCGGGGTATCTATTTTTTCATTTTGTTTGTTTTGAAATAAATATCTCTTTAAACAAGTTATTACCACAAAAGGCACTTCTAAAATATATATTGGTGTATACATTGTACGAGGGCCGTTCAAAAATTACGCGGATTGTGCTATTATTTACTCTTACAGACGTCATATAGTTATGAAATTTCACAGAAATATGTATCTTAAAGATTCCAATTAATTTTGGGCAAAATTTCTGTATTTTGAAAATATTCTACGAAAATAATCGTTATGTTGATATCGCTGATGGAGAGGTACGGAGCACGACCAAAAATTTGAAGCAAAAGCATGCAGAATCCAAAATTCAACTCATTATTTTTCTATAATTCTCGATATTTTTTAACAATATTCTCAAATGTATCTTTAAATGTTCTATTCTTATGTATTTAGATTTCTGACGTGATATTTGAAGTACTAACAGAAATATAGTTATTTTTCTCCGATGGGATTCCCGTGAAAACGACTGTGAAAATGACGTCTCCTGAATTGATGGCGCACCACATCTTTGTTAAATTATGTGTAATGCTCGAGATATCGCCAACATAGATCCAAAATATGCATAATAAAAGATGTAGTAAACTAGGGTATTCGTGACATTCGTCCATAAATAGCAAATTGAAATTTTAGACCGTTAGACCTCTGTAAAAAGGCTATACGGGAGGACGGGAAGAAGATCATCGACGAAAACTTTATCCGGACTGTAAAGAACGTGATTGAGAGTCACCGATATCACACTATATCTCATAAATACCTGCAGTTTTTTTTTGGTTTTAAAACAAAAAAAGAAAGAATATTCTTTACTTATTTAATAGATTTGAAGCTTGACAAGAAATGGTGTTTGGATGTTGAATAGATGAGGTAACTCAAACTGTACAGGTACTCTTGGGGAAAAAAATGAGAAAATGAAAGCTCAAACACATGTTTTTTATAACGCTTGTGACGTCAATGATTTTGCTGCTCCGTGACTTAATGATATGTCCTAATAAATCACTCAAAATTGATACCAATTTACAACATTTTGATATGAAATTTTGAAGAACATATAAGAAAAGATTCTCTTATATTATGTGTGAAATTTTGCCCGATTATGTCTTTAAATATTTTTTCTGTGCAACAAGTCCGCGTAATTTTTGAACGGCCCTCGTATTTTGACTCTGTAAAGAGACTTGTCGAACCGTTCCCTCAGTGATTTTATTAAAAACTGAAACAAACAATAATGAAAGAAAAAGTGAGCAAGCTCAAATATCCCACGCTCCCCCAAAAGTCGGTGCTGAAATTCCCGAAAAAAATAAAGGAATCGGAATTTCCTGGTTAAATGCACATCTACACATTGTGTCCTATTTATCTGCAAAGTTTGACGAAACGAAATTGTGTGCAGCGTTTTATAAGGAGTTATGCAGACAAACTGTTCATCTCTATTTTCAAGATAGAGCTAAAAATCTAAGTTGAAAAGTGCGAAAATTTCCGGAAACAATAATGGAACTGGAATTTCCTGGTAATATGCACATCTACACATTGTGTCCTAAATATCTGCAAAGTTTGACGAAATTGTGTCCAGCGGTTTATGAGGAAATGCGCAGACCATAAAAAAAAAACAGGACTGACGGACTGATAGACACATTGACTGACTGAATGACGGGTCAAAACCATTATACCTCACGCAACTTGTTGCGTGGGGTATAATGATATTGACTAATGATTTTATTCCTTACCGATCTTTAGCGTGGGTAAGATCTCTGTATACGATGCACATCAGTTCATCAAACTGAATTATCTTTTTGGCAGGGAATTAGTTTTTTATGGTAATTTTCATGGAATTGTAACCGGTTCTTGTTTTGTATAAAACAACAAGATGGTTCAGGGTGTGGATCCAAGAATTTATTATGGTATAGGATAGGATCAGATTAGGATCAACCCTACAAAAACAGTAACATAATATATAATTATAAGCACACACACACACACACACACACACACACAAAACAATACATAGACAATACAAACAGATAATCTCATCTTTAACACAATCATTTATAGATCATTTACATTTATACCGCTTAAAATAATTAGGTCACACTTCACTCAGTTTGATTATCTCTTTAAAGTGACAATACGGCGCATCTCTTCCAAAACAGACTTGTTAAAATTTTCCTATAAGATTTGGAATTTTTTTCATACTCATAAATGTATACACTTTCAGAAAGTTACAAATTTCATAAGTAAATAATTCTGATTACTTCATTAAAATTAATAATTATTTATGGCCCATAAATATATAAATCGCAACGTGTTCGAGGTTCCACATTCCATGCTATTCACGCGTGCGTATAGTTTTCATAAACAAAACAGCATGGAAAGAAAGGGAAGCCCGGTAGGCCTGCTACATTGACAAAGTCGACCAAAACGAAAAACAAAACCAAAAATAGGACTTGAAATTAAAAAGCAACTTTCCTGACAAAAATTTAGTTGGGAGATTTATCATTAATATAATCATTGGATGAAGAAGAAACGGGATCTCCGCGACATTCACGTGGGGCTCGCGAAGGTTCTACCCTACAGGTTTGTTGATACATGTATATGCTATCATTTCTCGTTTTTTCATGGCTTTCAAAGAAATAATATTAGTGTAAACTCAACATAAAAATGCACTTATGACATATGAAAATTATTGCCATTTGAAGTGCAAATTCTATTAGAACCGCAGAAAGATATTTTGTTTGACATTTTGCCGCGATGACGTATGACTTGGTGGATTTTCCTTTCCTACGCCCCAATACACAAAACGTCAACATTTGTACTTAATCATGTTAAATTCGTCTGAATGCAGACTAATATTTTAACTATTATTAATTTACCGGAGAGTTAAGATATTTTGATTCTTAGAATTGCTTTTACTAATATTCTATTATAATTGTAAACCCTTTTGGAATTCACGTGGTACAAATAAACAGAACTAAGTTGTACGACCCTTGATTTTCCGGCAGATTTTAATTACGTTGATTTTACATGAGGAGAGAATATTTATTTTTTTCAAATGCTTACTTTAACTTTTTACCTTATTCCTGAATGATATATTGGGTAAATTTGAATGAAAAAAGCACACGATTTGCAGCCATATTGCCGCTTTAAACCATTATACTTTACTTCTAATTCATAGAAATAACTTCATAGAATGAACAATATTTACTTTAATCAATCTGATCAATACAGAAACCTTTGTAATTTACATCAGCATATACCCATTTATGGAATAAGGTGAATCCCGTAAGTCCTAGACCAGTATAAATCTCACAACTTCACCTCAGATACAATATGTTAAAATAATAACAAACTCTCAAATCCCTTATTTAGGATGCAAGAATAGATTAAAAATGGTTAACTTGCATTTATAGTTCTTTATCAATCTTTATATACATTCCTTACATACACTCACACTTTATTTAGCAAGTTTAGATTAAAATGAATTATTTAGATTCTCATTCATAAAGAAACTAGTTTTAATTGTAACGGGGACCGTTACAGATGTTCCCCAAACGCTCCCCAAATCCCTTTTTTGTGCCATTTTCATGCAAGACATTTTTAAAATATGCTCATTATCAAAGGATTTCATATAAGAATTATTAAAGCTACAATGATACCGACTATATGTCATTTAACTCATTGCACGCGCACGCACGTGCATGCACATGCAAGATTATCATAGCATGTTGTCTAAACCATTAACATTTGTTTATGTCGTGAGAATCAATAAGAAAAATCATAAAACATAAATGTTACCGTTTTTCAATTATATCGGTCATTTTGCGTATTGTGCGCGTGCACTTGCATGCACGCGTGTCCTTACATTCAATTCTGATAGTAGCATAATTTAGTAATTCATCATACCTATCCATATTCTAAATTTCATCCCGTTCTGTTGAGAATGAAGAAAGTTATAGGCATTTAAAGTTTCAGCCAATCAGATTGCAGCACATGTGCATGCGCATGCTTTTATGATAATTCTTATACATCATGCTGTAGACCTTCATAATGTATGACTATGTTTAAAATTTCAAGTGATTTTGTCAAAAAACAAGAAAGATATTGAGACTTTAGTTTCAGCCAATCAGAGCGAAGCGCACGTGCAAGCGCGTGAGATCTTGCTATTTTGACCATGTCGTCATGTCTATACTACTAATATATCCTCACATTATGAGTTTCAAAGCAATTCATCAAAAAATAGAAAAGTTGCGGCTATATCTATCATATTGGTCATTTCACGAGTTGCACGTGCACGCTCTTGCAAGCACGTGTGCGCAAAATGACCTTGATTCCGCAAATCTACATAACATGTCTACTTACGCTAAAAAGGTTTTACCTACATCGGACGAACAGTTTACAAGATCATTCCCGGACAAAAAAGTACCCAGGAAGAAGAAGAAAAACTAGTGCTAATTGTAACGGGGACCGTTACAGATGTTCCCCAAACGCTCCCCAAATCCCTTTTTGTGCCTAATTCCTGTAAAACATTTTTTTAGAATATGACTAGTATCGATTTAATCAAAGATTATAAAAGGTACAATGATATCAACTATATGTCATTTAACGCATTGTACGCGCACGCATGTGCATGAACATGCAAGCTGATCATAGCATGTTGTCTAAACAATTAACATATCTATATATCCTGAGAATAAATAAAAAAATCCTTACAATATATTCTAATGTTTTTTTTAAAATATTGGCCATTTTGCGTATTTCGTGCGCGCGTCTGCATGAATGAATGCTCGTGCATTCAATTTTGATAGTACCATTATGTAGGAATCCATTATACCTATTCATATTCTAAATCTTATCCCGTTTTGTTGAAAACTAAGAAAGGTATAGATATTTAAATTTTCAGCCAATCAGATTGCAGCACACATGCATGCGCATGCTTTTC